TTGAATTGAAAAAACCGAACCAAACCGAATTCTTTTGGTTCGGTTCGGTTTTAGTGATCTAGAAACCGAACCAAACTGAACCAAACCGAATTAATTAAATTAATTTTTTTATTTAATTATTTGTTTTGAGTATTATTTTCTAAACCCAATTTGTAAGTTAAAATGTGCTAAACCCAATGTGTTGCCAAACTTTAAGCTCAAAATATTAAAAAAAGGCCTATAAAACTCTAAACCCTAACCTATTATTTCTCCCCCATATAAGGTTCCGGAACCAAACCTCCTCCTGAAGTACCTACATCCATCTCCATAGCACTGTCTACTTCTGCCCCAGCTTTCTTTTCCAAATCTACTCTCATATAACATGTAACAGAATCCATAAACATTTATTTCGGGTAGATTACTTGGGTAATTTCTGATGGAAAAGAATCCAACACACACTAAATAAATCCACCCACGCATTACTTTTACTAATCAAGTTGTCAACATACAGTTACAAGCAAACAACCCTGATCTTTGAACAACATCATACAATTTAACTTTTCTAAGTCATTTGTACAATTTTTGTGTTGTGAGGTTGTTAGTTTGGACTTTGGAAGACTTGATTGATAATTTTAGTTCAACTTTAAATGTTTATTTTCATTGTCTTTGATTCTAGTTAGAATGCTTATGTTATGATTGTGTTGGATATGTTAAAATTTAAAATTTCAATGTTTTTCATATTTTTTTAAAAAAAAACAAAAAACAAAAAACCGAAACCGAACCGAAAAAAATCGAAAACAAATGAACCGAACCGATTTATATCGAACCCACCCCTAACGTCAGCACTTAACAGAAAAACTAACAGAAAATTTGACGGAGGTATGACATTGTCACAAATTCGTAAGATGCGGTATGACATTGTCAATTTTAAAAGATGAGGTATGAAACTGTCGTGACCCCAATAGTTGAGGTAGTTTTTTGTAATTTACCCAAAAAAAAAGAATTGTCAGTTTGTATTCCAAGATGAAGTGAAATGGCAGTTAAGAAAAAGAAAGATCACTTACTAGAAGCCTTATGCTTCTTTCTGCCCGCCTCGGCTAAAGAGGCAGTAAAGACAGAATGAGCTTTGGAAGCTTTGGAGGCATGAGCCCTTGTCCTCTTATTGGTTGGGGTTGCCCACGGGATAGGTAAGACATACTGGAGCTCAGGCTCTTCTTCGGGCTCAGATTTTAAAGTTTACACCACGGTTGCCCTTGCTCAGCAAGGTGCTCGAGTCTCCACTTTGGGCTCGGCCTCACCTTCAGAGTCTCTAAATAATTCAAAAATATCCTTAGCCTCTCCCGCTGCGTAACTAGACCCATCGCCTTACCTCGTAGCCTCTTGGAGGACATACGTGTCTGCAGCCTCTTCTTCTAGCCCGACATCCACTATTTCAATGTTGCCTTAGGCTGCAAGTTCAAAGTGAGCAAAAGAAGGGTCAGTGGTATACAGATTATAAAATATCATAAAATACAAGTTATGAGAATAAAAAGTACCTATAAGAAGAACCTGGTTCTTTTGGTGCACCATCTCCTTCCAACTTTCAAGCTCACTCGGCTTAGGATAGGATTTGATTAAAAGCTACCCAAAGAGACGGTCATGAGATTCCCTGAGATCCTCTCCATACTTTTTGGCCCACTTGGTCTCCCACCAAGTAGAGAAATAAGGAGTGCATTCAAAATTTAGCATCATAGGCTTTCGGGCAACCTTGCTCATTACTTCCAGGCTATGTCGGGCTACCCGAAAAGTGACTTCTTAGGGAGAGCGGAGGCGGTAAGAAGTTCCATAGTGCATGGAGTAAAAAAAAAAGGCACTGAAATGGCTTACCTAAAACCTAGTTACCTACCATAGAAGTTCGGGTGGTAGACTTCTAGCCCGCGTTCATAGCCACGGTCGCTATATACTCCCTAAGCCAAGTTTCTTTGCTGGAGCTAGTTGATAAATTTCTCCTTGCAAAGTTGGCTGGCATCTTCCCTAAAAGCATATTGGAAGGCTTGGTCTGAGAACCTGGGATACCTTCTGAGTACTGAAGCTCCCCACTTCAAATCTGCCCCGAGTTCGGCAGACTCTGAAAAAGTAAAGGAATGAGAATGTGGAGTGATTGGTTGGTGATGCCTCGGCCAGAATACGGGCAAGAGCCACTCCTTCGGGAAACTCGAGGTTAGGTGCCCAAAGTTCAAGAAAGTACCATTACGACCACAACTGGACCATCTAAGTTGGCCCGTTGAGGTTAGTTTCGAAAGGTTCACGCCTTGTCATCTCGAAGAAAATGTGATAAAGATGGACAAGAAGAAATGGCCCTGTAGCCACATCGTCAAATGAATGCAAGGTCTCCACCAAGGAAACCTACTCCAGTTTTACTCCCTTGGATTTTTTGGGGAAGATATGCTTATTGAGCCAGTACAAGAGGAAGTACATGTGCTCTTAATCCCTATTTGTGATGGCAGAAGAGGGGCTGAAGGCATTGTTGGCAAATGGGATGAAACCTTTGAATGAGGTCCCATAGCTCTTGAAGGTTGAAAAATCATACTCCAATCTGATGATAGAGTCAGAGAAGTCTGAGGCTTCAGTAATCGGGCAAGAAGAAGAAGACCAGTCATGGGTAATATCTACGACTCTGCTCGAGGGCTTTAACCCAAAGACTTGAGCCATGTCGAGAAGGGTTGGGGTCCAGAACAGAAGAGATGTAGTCAAAATGTTGGGCTTGGCGACAACCATGACCTTTGAGAGCATGATGAGCTCGTAGATCCCATTATTCATCCACTTCTTCTTGAAAATGGGTTCGAGCTCATTTATCCATTGTGCCCAGGCTTTATCCTTCATCAGAGAAAAGCTTCTTCGATGGGTAGACCACTTAGAGGATGAGATGCTAGCTTCGGCCTAATACAGATTGAGGGTGAACCAATTGGCCTTGGGCATGTTGTTCTCCACGGAAATTGGGACCCTTGAAGTCCAAGCAGGTCCCAAAGAGTGTACCCCATCCCTTTTCGAAGAAAATTGAAGTATTCAGGCCAACCCAAGGGCGATGAAGGCCATTAAGGAGGCGACACATGTTAACAATGCCATCACGGGATTCATATACAGGACGAATAGTTTTGGGGGGGCCATTGGTTGATTTTGAAGAAAATGGGGATGAATTGAAGTCAGGAAGCAAGAAAGAACAGAGAGCAAGAGAGTTCTGAGAAATCTGGGGATTTTGGAAATTCGAAGGATTGGAATTGCTAAGGTAATTTGACCGAGAGGTTTAAGTGGAGGTTATATAGTAAGCAGTTAGTTAACGTTGGAAATTATGGGTTAGTGCAAAGGTTTAGTTAACAACGGCTGTTTAAGTGGTGCAAGTCCTAAGTAAAGGCATGGGGTTCATTTTAATCATCATTGACGCCTCGGATTGCAGACTCAACAATGATTAAATGGGGCATTGTTTGGGTTAATATTTGAATATTGGGCTTGAATGAAGGAAAGCCCAAGGATGCCAAATTAAATGAAGATTTGCCCGAAACCCAGCATCGAGCCCAAAGACAAACTGAAGCCTTCTTAGCCAATACACAAGCCACGTGTCTATAACTGAGATGACAAGTGATGGAGACCGACCTATTATCAGCCAAAAAGCACTTTCCAGTGGCACTACAAGTAAAAAGCTGATGACTCACTACCCTCCAAGAGTTTTCGGGCAAGATCAAAGCCCTGACCTTCTGGCCAAATCGCCTATAAAAGAAAAACAGACAACAGAGATAAGGACACTCAACCAATCAAACAAACAAACATACAAATTCTGCTCTCAAGCCATATTTGCAACCAAAAAGCTGAAACCCACCCAAATTCAGTCCTTTTAGCAATAGTTTCCTTAGAAAAAGCTATCTTTGTCTAGTATAAAAGCTCTGCTACTTCCCCAGTGTTGTACTATCGATTCCCTCATGTAAACTTGTTTACCATCCATCCCTTTTAGCATACAATCCCTGTAAACTTAAAGAGAAGTGGTTGCAAGAGGTTCAACCTTGCCAGATAAGGTGAAATCTTGCCCGAGTCTCTTTGTTTGTCCTCTAAATTAGTAGATCTATTGCTTAATGCACTCTTCAGCATGTATTCAAGTGATTTCCACATATTTTCTACTTTAAGAGTCCCATTTGCATCTGGATCTGGTTGACTTAATATATCTGTTTTCATTAAGAATAACTTGGAACCAAACAAATGACTTAAAGGGCTCTGGACTCCCTCCATTCGAACATACAAGATCATGAACTAAAAGTCTTTCGTCACAAGGCAAGAAAAAGAACTTAATGCAGACTTAACCCATCTGCGACATTCCTTTGATAACAAGAAGTTTGAGTAACTTGGGGCGCAAATAATCAACTTAAAACATACTTGTTCTACATCTACTATACTGAGAGAGCAGTGGCACACCTAAGCATTTAGTTATTTTTGATTGCGAGCCTCAAGGCCTACACCTAAAGCCCCACAAAGGCACATTTCAGAACTAACTTCAAGCTCTTATTGCGGCACACAAGACAAGCAAGAGCCCGACTACCAAACATACGCATCCAAAGTGCCAATCCCTTGGGGAGCTTTGTTGAGGGCCAGAGACCTTCTGCAGAGAAATCTTTGCCCAAACAGGATGTCTGATTCTTACATATAATAATCAAACGAAAGTAACTAAAAGTAAATGAAGGAGGCAAACTTAAGTTTTGTCAAGTTGACTAAAGTAATGTGTTTTCTCTGCATCTAACTCAACTCAGTTTTCATAATTTAAATAAATTTAATATATTCTTCCATCGTTTGTAAACAGAAAAAAAAATGTAAATGAAAGGGAAATGTTTGGAGGAGGACTGGGGAATTGATGGCCACATTCTCCAGCCTCTTATCTTCTTCTCCAGAAAAAAGTACCCATGACAAGATAACAAAAAAAGTAAAAGAAAATTAACAGTTATTTGAAATAAAAAAAAATTTAATAATATTAATTACTATTCTGTAATACATAACACTTGGATGTAATACAACCAACATTTAGCAGTAGTCATTTACATTTGTCTGTCTCCGGTTGAGGAAGCTTTATTGTTGGTGATGATCGTCATCTTTATTAGTTCATTGGGTTCACCAGCAACCATGTAGATCTTCACTTCTCCTTAAAAATTCAGAGAGAGAGAGAGGGAGAGAGAGAGAATGGAATTTGATGAGCACGAAGAGCAAGACGAGGAGATGGAGATGCAGGCGGCGCCACCGGGTTACGCCTCTGTTGCAGAGAGTTCCAGGCCCAAAATGGGGCCCGCCGGCGAGGAGACCGTCTCCAGTGCTCGAAAAAGGGGGACTGCCGCAGCACCCAATTCCACCACCACCACTACCCTAGCCACCATGGTCCGGTACAGGGAATGCCTCAAGAACCACGCCGTTACCATCGGCGGTCACGCCCTCGACGGCTGTGGCGAGTTTCTCTCTGCGGGGGATGAGGGCACCATCGACGCCCTAAAATGTGCCGCCTGCAACTGCCACCGCAACTTCCATCGCAAGGAGTCCGAGGGCGAGTTAATTCGTCACCACCAGGGTGCCGGTGGGGCCCACCACCACCACCATCAGCATCAATTCTCCTCAGGCTACTGTCGCCCACCGCCGCCGCCTTCTGGCTACCTGATCACCTCGCCGCACGCAAGGCCTACACTAGCCTTGCCTGCGGCATCCATCGGAGGCCGCGGAGGGTCTCATAGTAGGGAAGAGGGAGAGGACGTGTCGAATCCAAGTTCGAGTGGCGGTGGAGGCGGAGGAGGATTTGGGATGAGTAAGAAGAGACACCGGACAAAGTTCACGCAGGAGCAGAAGGAGAAGATGTTGGAGTTTGCGGAGAAAGTTGGGTGGAGGATTCAGAAACACGACGAAGCGGCGATTGAGGAGTTTTGCGGAGAGACTGGAGTGAAGCGCCATGTGTTCAAGGTTTGGATGCACAACAACAAGCACACTCTTGGTAAGAAATTAGTGCCCTAATTAACCATATTTTATTTGATTTAATGCCTACTTAGCTAAGTAGCTAGCTCAGCAAGAAAGAAATGTTGCAGTGTTCTAATTACCCAGTTAATTAATCAAATTATGTTCGTGTTATGATTAATCTTTAGCTTTAGCACCCTTAACTCATGATCATGCAAGTACAATGATGATTTTTCTTAATTTAGTGTTAATTAATGATGATTTAATTAACTTGCTAAGCTTAGTTAATTAGATAGGGTTTCATCCCTTGGTTTCAACAAAAAAGGGGTTCATCACTCGATTTCAACAAAAATAGGTTTTCATCTAAATTTCCTTCTTCTAATTAATTTGTGTGATTAACATCTGGATTTTGTGCTAATTAGTTAACATATATACTGATTAAGACCACATTAACTTTTTCTGACATGTTTTACTCAGTAGAGCATGTTCTCACTGAGATATAACATTTGCCCTAAAAACCCAAAACTGGAATGCTGTTTCTTTCAACTGGAATTGTGTTTTAGGGCAGTTTTTCTATTTCGAGTAAAAATAGAAAAATGGAGAAAACCAATAGAAGAGGGAAAGCTTATGATAATTTAAACTAAACTGGGTTCTGATTAATTAATTAATTAATTAGTTAGTTCCCATTAATCACATGATTAAAGACCCATAGAATTTCATAAACTCCAATCGAAACGTGTAATAAGCATGCAAAGCAAAGCTGAAAACTGCTCTCACTTTGTTTTGTTTATTAATTTAATTTATTATTCTGGATTACTTTCTGCGTTTTGGGTTTTTGGAAGTTCATCCACATTTGTCAATCTTATCCTTATTTTCTTCCATGATCACCGCCTTATCTTATAGCTTGACCCTCTCTCTATCTCTCAGATTAATTTTGGCTCAACCTTCATATTGCATTAGTCTGTGGACACTTCCATCTCAAAACTGAAACAAGATGATAAAATTTCACCTATTTTTGAGCTTACCGGACACATGTGATCTCATCAACTGCATTTGTTTTAATTTATCTACTTTCTTTTTGAAAAAGAAAAGGAAATTCTTTTGGTGCTTTCCTATTTTCGAAAAATTAATTCTAAGCATGTAACGGCAACATGATGTAGTATGCTGCGACGTGGTGTGTATGTAAGTCTTCATTACTATAACACGCGTAGTGGACCACATTTTTGTTCTAGTTGGTCGTGTATGCTTGTTGTTTTATTTAGCTTATCGTTTACACGTAGTGTTATAATCTCATTCTTTTTTTCTCTAGTCATGAATGTTGAATAAATTTATTTATTTGTGAGAAGATAATATTAATTCTTATGTGTGAAACAGTGAATAGTGTAAAAAATCGTTTGTACTAAGAGGATTTTCATACTCTTAATTTGTCTCAATTAATAATGATCAAAATCCTCTTCGCTAGTAACCTAGAAAAAAGGGGTTTCATTTTTACAAGTCTTGCACTACACCCGTACGATGTTAATCAATTGAATAAATAAGCATCAACTAATTATTGGTCTATTGATAATTTTCTTCACATTGTGAGAAGAAATATGTAGTTTAAATACCCCCACCCACATTGATAAAAATAAAATTTGAGGAAATGATACATAAATTTTTTGGTTTTTACTTTAAGAGGAAAAATAACTATTTCTTTACCAAATAGAAGAAAGGGTTAATCGTTTCGCATGGAACAATAGTAATGGATGCTCGTGGAAAGCCTCAGAGGCTATGATATATATGATTGATGGATGGATGATTATCTTAACATGTATTTTATGTTTTCTCTGATTAATTTTAGCAATTCATCTCAAGTTCCTAATTGATTTGTTCACGCTAACCAAGAATCTGGTCGATGAAATTAAGTTGCATGAACAACTGAACAAGTACATTCGCTACAATGGTCGCATGCGAGGCACTTACCCTCCTTCAAAAGAGTGAAGACCATTACACTTAGAAAACTCCCGCTCGTCCCTCTACAAAAATTACACATCCTATAGGAGAGTTACAGAAACAATTACACGTCCTATATTACTGTAAATTTCGATTATCGTAGCTAGCACTTGATCTTCTTAAATAATTGGTCAATTTCTTGACAGTTTACAATGCAAACTACTCTCTTCCAGTTTGTAGTACTTTTTTTTTTTTTCTTTTTTTGAGTTCTTCGATGTTTTTACATTAGGAGGAAGGGGAATTCAGCTAAGTCGCACAATGGGCAGCCTAATTTAGTATTAAATTTTTCATCTACGAGACTCAAACCTAAGATCTCTCACTTCTAAGAGGAATACTATCAACCGTAATACTAAGTGGCTCCAGTTTGTAGTACTTAACTAAAGAGAGTACCATCTATGTATGCATCATTTACGGCATCACCATCCTCAAGAGCCAGCATAATCATTAGATCAGAGTCACAATATAGCATATATATATTGAACGATCTTGAAGAATAATACTTCAAATATATACATATATGTACCTTCAAATAAGATATACATCGTTAGGCCATCTCCAACCGAAGGGTCCAGAGGGCCAGAGCCCCGGGCTGGCTATTTTTTTTTTTAATGTTTCTTATTTCTGTCGGTTATAACCGACAGAAATAATATAATATATATTATTCTGTCGGTTACAACCGACAGAAATAACATTTTGAATTCAAACTTCCAATGGCTAGCGCCACTAGCCGTTGTAAATCCTTTTTTTTTTATGAATTTAAACCTTTTTTTTTTATGAATTTAAACCTTTTTTTTTCTTTTTTTTTCTATAACTTCCTATAACTTCTATTTTACAAAATTTGTTTCAATTTTTTTTTAATTCTATTTTTTTCCTATAACTTATATTTTACAAAATTTGGTTCATATTTTTTTTCATATAACTTCTATTTTACAAAATTTTGTTTCATATTTTTTTTTTAAATTCCATTTTTTCCTATAACTTCTATTTCACAAAATTTGTTTCATATTTTTTTTAAATTCTAATTTTTTCCTATAACTTCCTAAGCCATTATACAACATTAAATTAAATTAAGTAACATGAAACAACATTAAACAATATGAAACAACATTAAATAACATTAACCGACATAAAAATTATACAACACTAACCAACATGATTTTTAAATAAAATTAAGTTGTAGTTTTTAAATAATAAATTATGTTTGGCCCTATGGCCCTTTGGCCCTCGGTTGGAGACGGTTTTTTTTTACAGGGCTAAAACGAGCCCTCTGGCCCTCTGGCCCTCGGTTGGAGACGGAGGCAAATATGGCCCTGTACTGTTCATTAAAATATTAATATCTTGGAGAATCTTGGAGGGCCAGAGGGCTAAAACGAGCCCTCTGGCCAGCCATCGGTTGGAGATGGCCTTAGTTTAGTTGACCAATAAGTATGGCATTTTTTTGAATGTGGGCAATCTCATTGGTATTGTTGATACTACGAACTTAAAATTGTCAATATGTGATGGATATGACTGTTGATATATAAGTCGTAGATATTGTGTCTACAAATGTTATTCATTGGAACGTAGAAGAATTGTCTATATATTGAAATATCTTTGAAGTTGTATCTAAAAAATAAATGATTTGGAACATAAAATCACATCCTCGACTAAACACTAATAATATATATCTTTTATTTACAACACAATTAGTGGAGTGGTAATGGTAATGGTAATGGCGAAGATATATGGAAAAGAAATTAATAGTTACGTAATTAGTGGAGTGGAGGATTGAAGGTGTTGGAAAAATTATGTAAGCTCGTGTTGCTGCTGCTTTATTCTAAACAGGTGGCCTCTCTATCTCTGTGCCTCTCTATCCATCTGATCACAAAATACAAATGGGACTGACATTACAACTAATATTAATATATTTGTTCGGATGAAGTGCGGATTTAGTTCTTGAACTATCACATCAGTGAAAATTAGATTCTTGAATTATTTTTTTGGCAAAATAAGTTCCTAAAATAATTAAAAATTGCTAATTTCATCCCTATTATTATATTCAAAGTCATTTTATCCAATTTTTCGTCAACTTAAGTCACTTGACATACTTTAGAGTGCAATACCATCATTTTCTCGCCTATAAACCCTTAACATTTCATATAGGTTGTGAATCTACTTAACATTTCATATAGGTTGTGAATCTACTTAACATTTCATATAGGTTGTGAATCTAACATCTAATTTACCCACCAAAGTTAACTTACAATATTTCTTATGTAAAACTACCAATTTACCCTCCAAAGTTAACTCCATACACTATTTCTTTATGAAAAACTACCAATTTGCCCTCCAATGTGTATCACATGCAAGTAATATGACTTAAATTGACGGAAAATTGAAATATAGTAGCTTCGAATATAATATTAGGGACGGAATTCGCAGATTTTTACAATTCAAGGACTAATTTTTCTGAAAAATAGTTTAGGGACCTAATTTTCACTGAGGTGATAATTCAGGGACTAAATTGGCAGTTCACCTTATCTGTTTATATCGGTTAAAAATATAGATGAGTAACATCATTGTACGTATTTTTGTTTGTGGTAAAAGAAGGATAATTTTCCAATAACTAAAGTGCGCATCCACGCATTATTGATTCCTGATTGTTGATACATGTATGCTCAATTATGAGATTGTGCATGAATTAACGACTAGAAATTATTCAGGTGCAACCGAAAAATGAGTTTTATAAGGTTCCTTTTTACCTTAAGAAATGACTTATATTTTCTGTAAGATCCCACATCGTCCAGGGGTGTGGATCCTCTAAGCCTTATATATATATTCACATCTCTACCTAGCACGAGGCCTTTTGGGAGCTCACTGGCTTCGGGTTCCATCAGAACTCTGAAGTTAAGCGAGTTCGCGCGAGATCTCTAAGCCTTATATGTATATTCTCATCTCTACCTAGCACGAGGCATTTTGGGAGCTCACTGGCATGCCTTTTGGGAGCTCACTGGCTTCGGGTTCCATAGGAACTTCGAAGTTAAGCGAGTTCGCGCGAGAGCAATCCCATGATGGGTGACCCACTGGGAAGTTCTCGTGTGAGTTCCCAGAAACAAAATCGTAAGGGGGTGGTCGAGGCCCAAAGCGGACAATATCGTGCTATGGTGGAGTCGAGCTCGAGATGTGGTGGGAGCTCGAGCTGGGATGTGACATTTTCAATCAAGTAAGTTATCCCATGATGGGTGACCCACTGGGAAGTTCTCGTGTGAGTTCCCAGAAACAAAATCGTAAGGGGGTGGTCGAGGCCCAAAGCGGACAATATCGTGCTATGGTGGAGTCGAGCTCGAGATGTGGTGGGGGCTCGAGCTGGGATGTGACATTTTCAATCAAGTAAGTTCTTGATTTCTTGGAGAACACCAAACTTGGGCGTTGTTTGGTATTGCCTTTGCCACTATCACCACCACCACTGTTGCCATTGTCGTTGTCGCTATAACCCCTATACTCATCTCTGCTTCTATTATGCTTTTACATTGCTATTCATACTAGTATAATTTTGCAAAATATAGTTTACCAAACACCTAATTGCTTTATTTTATAGTTAATTATTCTAAAAGCATAATAGAAGCAACTTTTTAAGTGATCAATAATAATGTAGCTTACATACACATTATCTAAATTGAATCGCACCTACATGTAACAGGCTATATACACATTTCTTCCCCAAAGATGCGAACTGAAATTTGAACATGGTAAAGATAAATAATGATAAGTTAACCCCTTAAATTACAAGCCTGTTGTTTTCCTGTGCATTTCTAGAGGCCTCAATTGTGGTTGCTCATTCCATAACCACAATTCTACAATGCCTGTCTTCAGAGAATCAGAGCAGTTTATGCAATTTTGGAAAGATAATACTTATGGGTAGTGATGTCAACACGCCTTTTTTTTACTTTGAGCGTATCTTCTGATATTCTTGACGGTTAATTTTTTTTAATTGTTAATCTAACTGTTACGAAATTAGAGGGGTGTGTATGAGGTTAAATCATTTTCCTGTCTGATTATTTGATCTCCAATTAGTATTACTAATTTCTGTATTTGTATTATCTCCCAATATGTTGGTAGAGTCTATTTCTATTAAATATATGATACAAATAGATGATAATTATAGCATTACTCAAAAAAGAATATACTAGGTTATGTAAATATAGACTCCACTAAACCTCCGACAACAAATATCACTCAAAAAAGATTATATAATCACAAATGTCATTTACAACAAATATAGACTCCACTAAACCTCCGACGTCCCAAATACCATAAATCGCTACAACGGAAAAGAAAAGTTGCAATCTGTGGTTTCCGACAAGAAATATAGCACAGCAATTCCACGAACCGAACAAAAATACATACACCATCCACATTATAGCTCATGGATTCCATATTCCGAAGGATAATTCATCTCCATACATGATTTCCTCTTGCTTACACTCATACGCTGTGGGGATGAGGATGCGGCTGCAGCGCTTCTTGAAGATGTTTCACAGCACTATCGTAGTGCACAAAGCTCATGAACCAAAACTCATGGTTGTCAACAGAGACGACCTGGATGTACTTTTCAGCTGCTTTCACTTTGCTCGTTGATGGATTGACTGCCTTCAGCTGATGTAATGGAATAATCACCTACATATGACAAGGAATCAAACCATATTATGTTGATAGCTAACAAAGACATTTTAACATATCAACAGTAACTCAACTACTGACAACTAACCGGATGAAAGAAAAAAAATAGAGCAATTATTGGGATCATAATAGTCTTTAAAATGATGAATAAATAATAAAATATAGAGTTTCGGTTTCACTACTTGTAAGTTGTAACCCTTAAATATGAAACCACGGCATTTTATGTATTTAAAATGCTTCACCAATCAGACGGTTTGGCTTTATAATGATATATAGATAGGACATGGACATGCAAAAAAAAAATGTCAAAGAAATAGCTGGCTTGTTAAAAGTATATTTGGAAAAAGATTTGAGTCAAAAAATAGACCTCTCTTAAAAGGATTGTCAAAGTGCATCATCTACATTAACGACAATAACCAGGATTTGGTTGTTACAAAACAAGCATGGGTTCAGCAGCAATTAGACGACTAAAGGGAAGAAATCAAAACATAGGATCGTTCTCAATACAAGATTTTCAAGATCTTCTATTTACCCATTACCTTGCTTGGCCAACACTTTCAAATTTCAATTAAAATATAAATCCTTTCATCCTCTGTTCAACGTTGAGGAAGGGAACAATCATTGAAGTCTTTAAGCCTTTCCACCTACTAATATCACTCGAGTATAACCTAAAGGAAGGATCATTTTAGTTGTATTCTTCCTATTGCTTTCTTTGTCACATCATTCTTAATGACAGCCTTGTCATGTCAAACAATTCTGCTTTCAAGTCTATCAAAATATAACTTGGTGCGATGGCAAGTGCCTTCGCTCATGAGCGGTAGGTCTCGGGTTCGAGACTTGGGAGCAGCCTCTCCATAAATGGGGGTAAGGCTAGCCGACATTCACCTCTCCCAGACCCTGCGTAAAGCGGGAGCCTTGTGCACTGGGTACGACCCGACCTCACGACTAAATTGTCAATGTATATAAAAAATAAAGATCAACCAACATATCATACTCCCAAACTAAAGTTAGAGTTCCTATAATACCAAGTTCAAATATTTGTATCCCTCGCCGAGATTGACCCATTAAAGTTAGAGTTCCTATAATACCAAGTTCAAATATTTGTATCCCTTGTCGAGATTGACCCATTAAAGTCAGCACCACACCAAAACCTTCAAACAATAGCTACGTATCTAAAAAGAATCATTCAATACCAACCCACTAATAGTTTCCAAAAGAATAAATGCAATCAGGCTTTTAATGACCAGAAATTATCATAAGGAAATGATAGTAGTATACAACCTGACCATATGTATTGTGATAGACATAATAAGTAAAACCATTTTAGCAAAGATTAGTCTCAGAACAGAGAAAGACAAATTAATGTAAAGTGACATCTTACAAATAGCGTGTTTCTTTTTATTAAGTGTTCATACAAACCAACACAAGGTTGAGTTACCTAACTCAGGATTTAGGTTGTCATGGTCAAAGGTTGTGTATATCCTTCTTACCTCATGAAACGTGATTTCCTTTTCAGGTAAAACCAACAACTGAAATGTTTTGACACCTATAGGTTGGGGGTAAAAAATTAACAAAGGGATATATTGCTCACAAGGTCAAAGTTACACAAGCACTAACCTATCCCTGAGGTTAAGTGGAATTACAGAAACCTCCCTCTTACTTTGAGAAATTAAATTAATCTCCCTTAGAGATTTACGAAAAAAGCTGATCCCTCCTATCTTTCAGATTAAACGCACCATGGAAGTGAAATCTCTATTTTCAATTAAAACCTACCTCAGCATTCAAACTGTCTCAGCAGTCAATTTTATTTCAGAGTCTTAGACCTACCAAAACACAAGAGAAGAGTCTAACATCTAAAATTGAGCGGAAGTTTCTATAATATCACTAACCTCAAGAGGTTAGGTAACTTACCCTATTTTATAAATATCAAATCATGTAATATGAAAGTTAAAAATCTGAGAGAAATTCAAACTGCACTCTCACCATTTGGAAGCATAGACGGCTCCTAAGTCATAACTCCAAAAAGGTGACAATTGGTTCAAAAGCATAGGCAAACAGAAGTAATCCAATATACCTTATAATAGCTCCATTCAGTCCGGTCACCAACTGTGTATGAAAGGGGATCGTCACTGCAAAATGCAAGCTTAGCTGATGACAAATATAAAATTCCCATTACTGGGCCAGCAGATGTGGATAGGTAGCAAGCAAATGTCTTTAGAAGTTGCTCCTCTGGGACAGTCTCAAAATTGTGTCGAAAGATCTTCTCATAACCACCTTCTGCAAGTACTTTTGTGCTCTGAGCAATTCTTGTCACAGCGGCATCAGCAAAACTGGGTCCCGTTTTCACTAGTTCAGGAAAGCAGCAGTACATGCATTATGTCTCACAAATACAACAGCGGAAAGTTTACTATGAATTCAGTACATGATGATAATGCCAATGATGAAGTCGGTAGAAAAAACAATCCAGAGGCAAAATCCTAACTCTAAAGACCACTCCAACTAAAAGCACACATATTGAACCCATTCCTGATTCCCAACTCCCAACACGCAATATTGACACCAATCCTTCTACCAAACAGGAATGCTTCGCATAGAAATGCCATGCAATTGCTTAACCATGTTGGAACAACACAAAGACCGCAATTAACAGCATACTAGGCATAACATTTGCTCGTGGCAATGAATTACATCGGCTAATACAGAATTCTAGAGCATGCACAAGACGATTGTCATTGCGGATTCACATTCAAAATAACCAGAATTGAATACTTACAGTGTTGCCACATGTTGCCAGCAAGATCCTCGGCCTTCTTGGTGGCCTCCGCAGCCTTCTTTCCCCATTTTCCGAGAGCATCTTTCACTGAATCCATCGATTCTAATACCCACAACAAACAATACGACACAATAACACTCACAAATTCATCATTTCAACAGCAAAAACCCTAACTTATCAAAGAATTGAACACACAAGTGTTGGTTGGTTACTCACTCTTGACGGAGGAGGGGGGAGGCGGCGCAGGAGTGGCGACGTAGGGATTGGACTCCGCCGGCATGGAGGTGGCGGCGTTGCCGGGGATCGGAGCGCGAGCCTCGGCGTGAACCACCGGCGGCGGAACAGGCGGCTGCACCGGCGGGCCCTCCGACTTCGGGAGCGGAGGCGTTTCAGAGGCGATGGAGACGGAGGTCCAAGTTTCAGAGTGGGGAGGCGGAGCGACGTCGTTGAGATCGACCTTAGGGTACGGAGCGTAGTCTTCGGAGTGAGATGGTGGTGGCGGGTGATCAGGTGCAGGCGGTGCTGCTGCCACCTTGTGGTCGCTCATTTTGTAGTGATTGGGACACTGGAATCTTTGTCTTGTTGGGGAATTCAAACGGCTTGTTCGGCGGCGGAGTCTGCGAGAAGACCACTGGCGCGACAAGATTTATTTGGGATTTTGGTTTTGGACAGTTTGTAAAGAGGTGAACTTGCACAGTCCAGTTTGTAGTCAAATAGTCAATAGGCCCAAATGTTGACAAGTCATGGCCGAAAAGGTAATTTTATCCTAACATGGCAACGTATCTTTTTCTCCTTCTTTCTTTTCTTCCGCTAGCTCACTCCGTCCCTGTGCATTTTGTCTGAATTTATCTCCAATGCTATGAATCTTCTCCATGGTCTTACTTTTTCAGCAACATGTTGGGGTTGTCATGTCATTTCATTAACTTTCTTTATGATTTGATTCATTCACGTGACCATCTCGGTTCACCTATTTCAATTCGAGCTCCAAATTCAAATACGAAAAATAATTACTCACCCCAATAAGTTCATCACTAGAAACTTGTCAATTATAAAATTAAAGTTCATGGGAAAATTGGCCCATTATAAAGTTCAAAGAGGCAATCGGCTGAAATTAAATTTCAAAATGAAAGTGGTCAATTATAAAAATTCAAGAGAAAAAATTGGCTAATTATAAAAGTTCACAAAATTTATAATGGGCCTATGACCAGTTTTGAACCACACTTCTTGGCTGGACATCGGAGAGGTGAAGTTGCCATAAGCTATCCCGTGCCTCTCGTTCATATGCAGGGTTGACATATGTTGCTTAGCTACCGCAGACATGACATGGCCGCAAGGTAAACCACATAGATCCCATAATCTGCCACTGTTAGATGTCTAATTTCAAACTTTCCTCCACCTGCAGCATAGGCAATACATGAGCCAGAACCCTCGGTGTTTTTTTCTTTCCAAAATCTTCATAATTCTTGGTCCAACAGATGAGATGACGAATTTACCCTCAAATCTAACGGGAAAGTGGATGAAATTTTCTTAAATCTAACAGTAAGGGGTTAATTAGCTGATTTTAAATAGTTTAAGGATCAATTTACTAAAGATTCATTCATATGATCAATTCAACTGACTCAATAGTTTAAGGGGTCAAACGACATTTTACACATTCAATTTTTTAAGTGTGCACTCACTATGGAGGGATCACCATGTTGTCCCAATGTATGAGCACTTAAATAAGTCCCAATGTTCACCAAAGAAGATCCAAACTTTTGATCCAACAACTCTTCCAGTAGGAACAACCATGTAGAGCACTGCCAGTCTTAAACAAGTTAGAAATCCTCTTGCGACCTAAGTATCTTTGTGACCGTATATAAAGAATTATGTTGATTTAAATCTGTCTCCACTTGACTTTACCAAGTACATGACCTAATGTTACTGCATGAGAGAGGATCCTCGTCGGATCCTCTTTGAAATGATCCGACGAGGATCCTCACATCCGTTCATTGTACATCTTGCGATCAAATTTTGTCAGGTACTGTTTATATTCGATTTTAAATAAAAAAATTACAATGATTTTGATCACATGATATACGATGAACGGATGTGTGTTGAGGATCCGACAAGTATCATCACTCGTTACTACATTATCAACAATTGACATGTTGTCCAACACTTTAAGATGTGATTATTAATACCAAATCATTTCTCCAAAAAAATCATTAACGTAATCTACCTTTTTAGTGAAGTTAGAATTGTAACTAAAAAACATGCTAAAGTGTTTGGCTGAACAGCAATTAGGATCATTAAAAGGCCTCTAAAAGGAAAAAGGGCCTATAATCTCTGCAGTAACCTTTAACTTAACGCAAGGGGAAAATTTCAACTAGGTGATGAAATGCCAGATTTAACCAGAAAAAGGAAAAATTGTATAGTTTTCGTAAAGATCAAATAAGCTACCCAACTCTTTTTGCCCCAAAAAAATTACATTTTATTATCTCAATTTTGAGTCGCATAACAAGCTTATACCTTATTTTTTAAACATTTGTCACACATCAATTTATAAATTCGTACCGATGTTAGACCTCTATCTCCTTGTCCATCACTTTTGTTTGTTAACGGTTGACGTGCCAGCTCGGAACCCACTCCCTCTCCAAACTAAATTGAGAAATTAATTAAATATTAATAAATGAAAAAACTTTTTTTTGGTCTAAACAAAATTAAAATTAATGAAAAAACCCCTCTCTCTTTCTCCCACCATGCAACTCTCTCCACATTCCCCCAATCCCCGCAACCTTAACCCCCTCCCACTCTGATCACGACCCCAACCGCTACACCCACCACCAATTCATTATCCCGCTCCGACTGCAATTTACGGCTTCGACCCGTCATTTAGTTTCTCCACAGACAAGACACCAGCCTTCAATTTCTCTCCTTCCTCTCCCTCTGTCATCGAAGACGAGGAGGAAGGGACATGTAAATTTCTTCATCTAAGTCGCCATGGAGGAAAGCATTGTCGACAACAAGTTGTTGAAGAAGTACCAAAAGGTGGTGAGTTTGTTTCGCCAACGGACAAATTTCACAAACATGACCCGATTCAAAGTACAATTTAAATAAGTGCTAGTTAATAGTTGAAGCGGGCAGAAGAAAGGTGGCCTAGGCGTCGTTGCCAAAGTTCGATTGAGGTGATGAGGAGATAGCAGGCAGGCAGGTTTTCAGGAATGGGCAGTGGTGGTGGAGGTCAATGCAATAAGGTATTAGTGGTTACCACGGCGCTTCCCTAACACCAATCGTCATCCTCGAAACCAAGTTATGCAAAATACACCAAGAGAAAAAATGGTGACAGATCAATTCAATCCATCTGTAATTTTACCAACAAATAAAATATCGACTTTAAAACTAGACACACACAAAACACCTTTCAATTGTATATTTGAAGTTAACAAAATATTGCTCGTCAAAGTGATTGGAGCCTTTTTCCACTAGACAAAATAATTGGAGGTAAATTAGAGGACGACATGTTCGTCAATATACACGGAGAGGAAGTAATGATTCGTCGCTCCACTGTCAATGATCCATCGACAATGTGCTTAAGCAATCGGTGACAAACCTTGTGCGAAGTACTCAACAGATGCAGCGTTGGCTTTGGTGCTGACGGGGAGGCACTGGAATTCTCTAAAGCAACAGACAATATTTGTTGGTCTTGGCCATCAGAGAGGTTAGGCATGGTTGTTTGAAGCTCTTTTAAGTGTAGGTTTCACGATTTTTCATCACCCATGCCAAAAGGGCACGAGGAAAAAGAAAAGAAGAAGAGTTAGTGTTTCATAACATGCTCTATATATCATGTAAAAATTTGTACTTGGCTCAACTGCAATTTTCATTCATTCTCAAATATACAATATATACTAAATACAAATAAATGGATTAACTAGAAATATACATAATTTACTCTTTCATACAATGAACTTAATGTAAAAGAGTCAATGAACTTATATATAAAGTTTCTTAGTTTTCAACCTGTGGTACATTAAGTTTTTTTCATACCAGAGTGGTATATAAAGTTATAATTTTGGGACACTTTCATACATCCGTTAAGGTTGCTGTTAAATTTGCAGTTAATTGATGATGTGGCTTCCACGTGGACAATGACTAAGCGCCACGTGGATATTAAAAAATAAATTAATAAAATAATAAAAACTAAAAAAAATTTAAAAAAAAAACTTTGAGGCGTCTTCTCCCCATCCTCCCCCCTTCTCTCCTCTGCACCCTTCCCCTTCCCCTTCGACTCCTCCTCTCTCTCTCTCTCTCTCTCTCCCTCCCTCCCTCCCACCCACATCTCTATACTCTATCCATCAACGGCCTCCTCCAAGTCCACTTTACTCAACCTCTCTCTCCGTCTTCTTCCTTCTTCTCTTCTTCTCTTCTTCTTCTTCTTCTTCTTCTTCTTCTTCTTCTTCTTCTTCTTCTTCTTCTTCTCTTCCACAACCACCATGATTCGATTAAGCTCAACCCAAGTCCCCAGACCCTTCCTCCCTTCTCTCATTTGCACCCCCCCTCCCCTTCCCTCTTCAACTCCACCCACCCAACCCCACTCTCCTCTTCGACCGCCCCATGAGCTCGAACCTCTGAACCCTATTTACCAGATTTGATGGCGGTGGAGATACCGATATTTTGATTCCACGAATTCAGGTCGTCCTAAGTCAAAAACTCGAACAAATTGAGGCCTTGCTCAGAGCAGGAATTCTAATTGAGGTCGTAAAGGTAGCGAATGGCATCGATGCCGGCGTAATAGGGGAGGTAGATGACGTCAGTGAGAGTCATCAAACAGAGGGTAGTCGGAGTAGTTGAAGAGAAGATCGAAGTTGAAAGCTGGCGAGAATGGTCGGATGTGGATCCAACGATCAGTGTATTCGAAATCCAACGATGGTTGAGATTTTTTATGGGGACTTAGGTCGAGATTAATCAAATGGTGGTGGTTGTGGAAGAGAAGAAGAAGAATATGAGGAATGAGGTGGTGATTAGTAGAGTGGACTTGGAGGAGGCCATTGATGGAGAGAGATGTGGGAGGGAAAGAGAGAGAAATAGAGTGGGTGGAGTCGAAGAGGGAGGGGAAAGGGTAGGTGTAGAGGAGAGAAGGATGGGGGCCGGAAGGGGTGAGGGAGAAGACACCCAAATTTTTTTTTTTTTTATTTTAAATTTTTTATTTTAGTTTTTATTATTTTATTATTTTTTAATATTCACATGACACCCCAATCATTGTCCACATGGATGCCACATCATCAGTTAACGGCAAATTTAATAGCAACCTTAATGGATATATGAAAGTGTCCCATAATTATAACTTTATGTACCACTCTAGGAGGAAAAAAAACTTCATGTACGAAATATTGAAAACTAATAAACTTTAGGATAGTAAACTGAGATTAACCATAGAAATTTTAAGAAGCCCAATTGTTGAATAAACCTAATTAACTAACAGAGATGAATGTTTGACATTATATCAAATCCCTAAGTTGATGTATGACATTATAATATTTAAAAGATGAAGTATGAATTTATTACGTGAACTAAAATTAATGCAGTAAAATGTTATTTTCCCAAAAAATCACTAATAATTAAATAAAAAAGACAAAGATGTTACACATAAGATAAGAGTAAAATGGACAAAATGATAGTCGTAACCTAAGCAACTGTACTTCGTTTACCCAAA